GTCACTAATAATAAGGCAGGCATCAAGCCCATGCATGCTGGTTCCAAAGCCCTTGTCTCTTGCAACCATGTATACTGCCACTCAGCCTGGCAGTGGCCAATTTTAGTTTGGGTTTCCCGATTTCAGTGCAAGTGGTCTAAATGAGGAGTGGTCCCAGGATGCAAAGGCTGAAGCATGAGGCACAGTGTTTCCGTGAGCATCTGAAGCCCAATGCTTCTGGAGCTCTAGCAAGCAAGGCAGAGTATATGGAGGGTATCTCCTCCAAGGGCTGGGAGATGCTCGTGATGGTTCTTCTCAGCGCTGGGTTAATGCTGTTCAAGGGGCATGTCAATCCCCAAAGCTTCATGCCTGCTGCAGAGAGGCAAAGCAGGCACTGGTGGTGGGAGGTCCTCAGACAGGGAGATACAGGAGTGTGGCAACTGGAGAAGTCTGGTGTATACATAGAATGGCAGGGCTCCCCAACGCCTGCTATAATAAACCTGCCTGGCAATGGTCGGCCTCCCTAAGGTCTTGAGTTTGCTCATCGAACACAGTAAGAAGCTCTTCTTGCAGTGAGCTGCAGCTGAAAGTACTGGGAAGTCTGACAAAAGCCGCCTCCACCACCACAGAGATACCTAGGATAATGATGCTTGGTCCTGCTGTTCACCACTCCCTCAGCACTCAGGCTGGGCTCATAGCACAGCACCTTCAGCATGGGAACTTGTAGGCTATTCAGTCTCTTGTAACCATTCCTCACCCCTGGATCAGAATCTGTATTGTGTCCATTTGTTGTTTTTGAGACAGAGTCTCATGTGGGCCAGGCTGGTTCCCAACTTGCTATGTAGCAGAGTGTTACCTTGAACTCCCATTCTCTTGCCTCCGCTTCCCAGGTGCTGTGACTATAGGTGTGTATGCCCATGCCCGGCCATAATCTACACACTAACAAGCTCTCCAGTGACTTGTGTAGATTTCTACCAGTCATTTCAAACACATAAACACACAGTGGGGGGAGGGCACATTAAAGTAATGTATTGCACTAAACCAAGGGTCTCAGACTGGCAGCCTCTGGACGAGGCTTTTCTGAGAGTTGTTTTGTTTTAAAAATTCTGCCTGCCACACAACTCTCCAGGTCACTGTGGCCCATTTCCCCTATGCATAGCACCTCATGAACTTCCATTTAGGGTTCTGAATTTATGGCTGAGCTTGAAGTGCCTGGAAGCCTAGTCTGCCAATTTACCAAGGACACTTCTTCTAGAGAACTACCCAGGCATTCATGTAAGCAGGAATCAAGATAACTAAAAATGTCTGTCCCTGAGGAAGATTTATGCTGCTACATGAAAGTAGTTGTTTGTGTGCATTCTGAGAACACAAAAGGCAGTTGTGTTTCACAAAGTAGTTCCTGTGGTCGATAAACATATACTCGTTTTTTGATCCAACAAGAAGTCAGGTTTTTTTTTCCCCATGGAAAGGAAAACTACAAATTTTGATATTACTAAAAGGAAAAACAAAGATCTTAAGTTTGTATTTGATGCTGTTTTTGATGAAATCTCAACTCAAATGCAAGTTTTTGAGCATACTTCTAAACCAATTCTTCATAGTTTTTTGGAATGGATATAATTGCACTGTACTTGCATATGGCGCCTCAGGAGCTGGGAAGACACACACAACGCTAGGATCAGCTGCTGTACCTGGACTAACGTACCTAACAATGTCGGACCTTTTTAAATCCATAGATGAGTTTAAAGAAGAGAAAGTGTGTAGTACTGATGTTTCTTATTTGGAGATAAGTAATGAACAGATTCGTGACCTCTTGATAAATTCAGGGCCACTTGTTGTTGCCCCAAAAGGAGAGGTTGTTCAGGGTCTCACTTTATACCAGCCCAAATCCTCAGAGGAAATATTACAGCTAATAGACAATGGGAACAAAAATAGGACCCAGCATCCCACCAAAATGAATGCTCCATCTTCTCGTTCCCATGCTGTTTCCCAGATTTATTTACGACTGCGGGACAAAACAGCAAGCATCAATCAAAATGTCCGTGTAGCCAAAATGTCACTCATTGACCTGGCAGGATCTGAGCAGGCCAGAACTTCTGGTGCTAAAGGGACACAGTTTATAGAAGGCACAAATATTAATAAATCCCGCCTAGCCCTTGGGAATGTCACCAATGCCTTAGCAGATACAAAGAGAAGGAATCAGCATGTTCCTTACAGAAATAGTAAGCTTACTCGCTTGTTGAAGGATTCTCTTGTAGGAAACTGTCAGACTATAATGACAGCTGCTGTTAGTCCTTCCTCTTTGTTCAACGACGACACATATGACACTCTTAAGTATGCTAATTGTGTAAAATTAGCAAATCTTCTTTGAAGAGCAATGTCCTTAATGTCAACATTTACATATCTCAATATGTAAAGATCTGTAATGTGCAGAAAGCAGAGATTTTAATGTTGAAAGAAAAACTAAAAGCCTATGAAGAACGGAAAGCCTTGACAGTGCAAAATCAATACATTCAAACACTCAAGACAAAGAAATGAAAAGAAATTCAGAAATGCTTGTTCCAGAATCAAGAGGGAAATCAGGCAGGAATATCTAAAGTTAGAAATGTTCTTAAAGAGAATGAACTCAAGTCATTCTATCAGCAACAGTAGCATCACCAAATAGAGATGATGTTTTCAGAAGACAAAGTAGAAAAGGCCACTTGCAAATGAGATCACAGACTTCAAAGGTTGAAAACTGTTCACTGTTTCCTAGAGAAAAAGAAGGAAGAGGGGTTGAAACAATTTGATGAGAATACTAATTGGCTTCATCGAGTGGAAAGTGAAATGAGGCTCTTAGGTCAAAATAGTGACATCCCAGAGCTACTCAATAAAGATCTTTACTGTCACCAATTTCACCTCCAGACCAAAGACCTCAGAGCTTGTCTCCAAGAGCAGCAGCTCAGTCAGACTGAGGCACTATTGAATGCTTTACTTCCAGCCCCAAGAAAAAAGTATTGCATGTCAGAAGGAACTAACCTGTCCTATGTTGCTTTTGATTATGACTTCAAAGATATTGAGCATTTGATAGAAAGGAAGAAGGTGATGGCTGACCAAACTACCAAACATTCAAACCAAAGTGATCCAGGGATTTCTCTTCTTATGACCTTACCTCAGCTCGAACCAATTCAGTCTGTTCCTTGTTGCATGTCCTCAAATGAACCTGACTTGCTTAACATTACTCCAGAAATTAATACTGTCTTCCTCGAAAGTAAAGCATACTGAGAAGTCCCTGCTGTCTGAAAGTACACAGCTCAACGATTCTTCCAGCAAAGAACCCCAGAGGACTGCAGAAGACCTCTTCAAAACCCATCCCCAGCCTTAATAAGACCTTCATCACATACTACAAATAATCAATGATTCTCTGGAAACACTGTGTGAAGTAGTATAAACAGGATTTGACCTCTACACTTACTATATGTAATGCCATCAGGAGCTTGAAAAATAAATTTCCTGAATAGGAATCACTACCAAACACCAAAGCTAGTTTACACAGGTTTGAATCTTCCTGGTTCTCAAGGAAGGACTCTAGGCCTGTGTCAACAAGCATACCATCCTATATGGCAATGAAAAGAGGAAAAGGAAACTAATAAGTTCTATGTCAAATGCTTCATTACAATCTGAAGAAAATTATGGATTTGCCAAACGCATTCGACAGGATAATTCAAGTGATAAGCTCTTTCAAGGAAACAGACTAACAATAGCACCAGCAAAATAAATTCAACCATGCTTAGAAAATTTAGAAGAATTGGGCATTGGTGGTGCACCCTTTAATCCCAGCACTCGGGAGGCAGAGGCAGGTAGATCTCTGTGAGTGTGAGTTAGAGACCAGCCTAGTCTACAGAGCTAGTTCCAGGACAGGCTCCAAAACATCCAAAGCAATACAGAGAAACCCTGTCACAAAGAAAGAAAGAAAAAAAGAAAGGAAGAAAGAAAAGAAAGAAAAAGAAAATTTAGAAGAAACACTTGTAAAGAAAAATAAACTATCTACTGTCTATGTCCTTTGCCTGGTATTTGTCCCTGCAGAAATGTATTTCAAGTCTCTGAACAAAGGTCATCTAAAACTGTTCACTAAAATATTTTCATCAAGCAAAATGAAACTTCTTTTGTATTTTAAAATTAAATATAAAATTACAACAGGTTATGTTTCCCATTTCTCAGATCCTTGTTACTCTCGAAAATCTCTAAGCATGATGTCAGTTTAGTTTTACTTTACCACAGCTTGATTAGGACATTTTAGAAAAAATCGTGAAACAAATTACCCTTATCATTTTCAAAGGCAAGGAGACTTTAGAAGTCATAAAATTAAGGTCAAGATGTATTTTCTTTTCTGTAGCCTGTTAATATATTGTTTTATTCATTCTTGTGATTTTACTTTTTGATGTAAAAATGTAGATATGTATCTATAACATTGTAAATATTATTTAAGTATCTGTCATAAATAAAATACTAATATTTTATTACTTGATATATTAAAAATGTAGATTTAAAAAAAAAGAACTTCCATTTATGCCACTAAGAGCTCCTGTATGCACCTAGGTTGGTTTCAAATACCGTATCCTATACCTAATGATTGCAAAGCATGGTTAAGTTTTCTAGATTCCAAGCAAGGCACTACAAACAAAACAAAACAAAAAAAACCAAAACCAAAACCAAAACCATGGGCTTCGAAATCAGACAGATGGTTCATGTCATAGTAGCCATGTTGGGGGAATTACCTCCTCTCTGACCTTGACAAAGAGTTTAGTTTGTTTTTCAAAGTATCTGTAACCTGTTGTCCACTAGCAAAGAGCCCTTTGATACACAGCACAGAGAAGATGTTCATACCCACCAGGAAGAAACTCTCCTCAAAGGGTCCTCCCCTGAACTGAATGACCTGAGGCCCTAGCCTTACAGAAGTTGGAAGAGCATGGGGGGGGGGGGTCAAGCCCCAGGCTCCTTAGCAGGCCACTTGCTACGTACACTATTCAAAAGTTCCTGGCAGGTGCAAACTCAGGGCTTTTACTTCAGCAAATGGAACCCTGGGATAAAACAAGTTGGAACGTGAGGTCCATGACTTTGAGAAGGCAAGATCCTCCACGAGGTTGTGTTGATAGAACCACTCTCTGAGCAGCAGCTGGACACTGCCTGGAAGCTGTCTGGGCAGAGGAGTTCCTTAAGCACCTTGGGCTGTGTTACTTGGAGGGGCGGCTCTTGTTGAAGATGAGGAAGTCTGAGATGTCATGCCACACGTTGCTGTCCTCGTAGAGGTAGGTCATGGAGGACTGCAGTGAGGGCTGCAGAGTGGGCCGGTGATACTCGAAGAGCCATAGCACAAGCCCCCAAATCACTGCAGTGTGCAAGGGGAACGGATCCCACCTGAGCTTAGGGATGTAGCCCTTCTCCACACCCAGGCGGCACAAGGCAAACAGGACGCGTGATGTCAGGTACATGTTGATCTGCAGGGAGGGAATGCTGAAGATTACTAGTCAGCATGGTCACTGGAACCCTAGGCAGTGGGCATTACTGGGCAATGGCTCCGTGATTTTCAAAGTTAGCGTGCAAGATGATTGAGGTGGTATGCAGCAGACATTTTAATATTTCCATTTTTGTGTGTGTGGTGCATATGTTTGTATAGATGCATACCCATGTGTGGGTTGGGTGCTTGTGGACATGTGGGTATGGAGCCTAGAGGCTGCAATTAGGTGTCTTTCTCAGTTCCCTTTCTAGCCTAATTATTTGTTTTGTTTTTATTGTTTGGACACAGGGTCTCCCTATTATGTAGCTTTCCCAGAACTTGATATATAGACCAGGCTGGCCTAGAACTCACAGAGATCTCCCCGCCTGCCTCCTGTAAAACATCCTCAGAGCTCACAGTAAAGCATGAAATGTTCCAATTGGAAAATGAGCAAAAGACATGAATGTTTCGCCCAATGGGTAGCAAATGCATGGCAATGAGGAAAATTTCAACATCATTAGCCACCAGGGAAAGGTGAAGTCAAGTCACAATGGATAACAGAGAGCTGGTGAGATGGTTTAACAACCAGGGTTTGCAGCAAAAGTCTAACAACCAGGGTTTGATCCCCAGAGCCCATAGTGGGAGGAGAGAACCAATTCCCAAGAGCTGTCCTCTAACCACATCCACACACCAGGGCAGGGATAAACATTACACACACAACCCCAAAACCTTTAAAACACAGATAAAATAAATCATGAAGCAAACCAAATGTTCGTAGGATGTGGAGAAACTAGACATTCATATATTTGTGGTGATGAGAATGTAAAAAAAAAAAAAAGATAGTCACTGAGTCACTGGAAAATAGCTTGGCAGAAGGTTGTCAGGTTTTTCTTTCTTCTTTTTTAAAACCAAGCATGCCTGTACCATACAACCCACAATTACACTCTTGGGCTTTTTCCCAGAAAAATGAAAACTTATGTTCACAGAAGTATCTATACAAGAGTGTTCTTCACAGCTCTACTTGTAATACCCCAAAGCTAGAAACTGCCCAGATGTCCTTCAGAGGATGGGGGGAAAAAAAACCAAAAACTTGATGGTACTTCTATACTACTTAGGAATAAAAGGAAAAAGAATTAAGCCAGGGTGGCCATACATGACTATAACCCCAGTGCTCTGGAGGCTCAGGGAGAATTGCCAAGGTTCAAGGCCAACTTGGGCTTCAGAGCAAGACACAGTAAGAAAAAATACATAGCTGGATGTGGCTGCACATGCCTATAATCCAAACCCTGGGGAAGTATAGGCAGTAGATACTGAGTTCAAGCCCAGATTCAGCTGTATATTGAGTTTGAGTCAGCCTGGGCAATATGAGACCCTGTCTCAAGAAGTAAAAGGGGCTGGAGAGATGGCTCAGTGGTTAAGAGCATTTGCTGCCTTTGCAGAGGATCAGGTTTGGCTCCCAGCACCCACATGGCAGCTCATTACTTTCTATAACTCCAGCTTCAGGGGACACCACACCTTCTTCTGGCTTCTCCAGGCACCGGGCATGCAAATAGCGCACACACATACATGCAAGCAAATACTCAGGCACATAAAAGAAAAAAATGTTTTAAAAGAAAAAGTCAGAGCCGGAGAGATGGCTCCATGGTTAAGAGTACTGCCTGCTCTTCCAAAGGTCCTGAGTTCAAGTCCCAGCAACCACATGGTGGCTTACAACCATCTGTAACGAGAGATCTGGTGCTGTCTTCTGGCCTGCAGACATACATGCAGGCAGAACACTATACACATAATAAATAAATGTTTAAAAAAGAGAGAGAGAAAGAAAAAGTCGGGCTGTCCTTCCCATGTGACCTTGGCAATTTTTTTTTCTTCCCAAAGAATCAGTCTATCTCTTGTCAGCTACCAAGTTCGCAAAAACAGAATTAACCATAATATTCCATAGCTTTTAAAAATCTACATTTTGTTTATTATTATTTTATTTTTCAGGGTGCAGGACACATGCATCATAGCACATGTGAAGAGGTCAGAGGAAAGCCTTTGGGACTTGCTTCTCTCTTTCCACCATGTGGGGCCCAGGAGCCACACTGTCACCACACTTAATGGTAGGCAACTTTACCTGCTGCACCACCTCAGGGCCTCCGTGCTTGGGCTCTTTATCTTTATTTTTGTGTTTGCTTATTTATCATTTTTTGAGACAGGGTCTCTCTATATAGCCCTGGCTGTCCTGGAACTCACTATGTAGACCAGGCTGGCCTTGAATTCACAGTGATCCATGTCCTCTGCCTCCTAAGTGTTGGGGCTCCCCGAGGCCTTTTAATATACAGAAGACATTAAACATAACCCTTGTATTTGCAGTATCGGTAAAAGTCTTTGTAGGTGATCCTGGGGTAGAGGTTTATTGATTCTATTCATCTTAAAAACAAAACAGCTTTCCTCTTTCTATTTCCTGTTTCCCATTTCATTGAGTTCTGAGTTCTTGTTTATTCTGAGATGCAGCCCAGGCTGGCTTCAAATATGTGCCTTAGTCTCTCAGTGTACCACCACACCCAGGTCAAAGTGCATTAGGAAAAACAATCTTAAACTGGAGAGACAGCTCAGCAGTTAAAAGTACTTGTTCTTGCATAGGACCAGAGTTTGATTCCTATAACTCTAGCTCCAGAAGATATAACACCCTCTTCAGCCCTCCACGGACATCTACACACAGGTATACAACAGGCATGCAGAGGCATACACACATAAATAAATAATTAAAAAAACAGGTGTACCACCAAATTATCGATGCATATGTAATCTCAGCACTTGGGATGAGGCAAGAATATCAATAGTTCAAGGCAAGCCTCAGCTAGCTTCATAGCAAGCTCAAGACCTGTCCCAACAATATGAAACAGCCTTAACTACTACCACCACCAAAATCCTTGCCCCAAAGAGCAGCAGACACACTGATGTGGGGAGTTCTGGGATTCTGACTGTGACTGGGAAAACAGAGGGAGAAGTGACCTTCCCAAGGTCACACAGGGACTGGTGATTCTTAGACTCAGTCACAGACAGCAACTAACAGTCCATCTTTACTCCCCTGTCCCTCAACTAAAGGGCATCCCACTGTCCCATCTCAGGAAAGTCTTTACCTGGCTATTGATGTTATTGTTCTTTCTAAACACCAGCAGGCCCCCGATGAAGGCCGCCAGGAAAGAGTGCATCTGGTGCGTCTCGCCTTGCACGTGGGACTGTAGGGCACAGAGGCTCTTATAGATGAACACAAAGCAGGCCAGGTTCCGGGAGTGGGTGTACGTGGCTTTCAGGATGGCCTGTAGCTTCTCTTGGAGACTGCACAAACAGAAAATCCCGTAAGCGCAGGCCCAGAGTACATACAGATCTGAATTAGGCCAGGAGCACAAAGTTAGGGTCCATCCGATTCAAAGCGTCTGTGGAGGATGCCCCATGTCCTCAGGGGCACGCCTCTCTCACCAGACGGGGGCCTTAACTCAGTGTCACCACCTCCGGGGTCACTCCCTGACACCTTGCATTAATGAGTGCCCATCCCCTTCCTCATGTTTCTTTTCCATCATGGTTCTCATTGCCACTTAACATTTGTAAACTGATGTATGAAGTTCCCTTGGCCTCCGTATAAGTTCCTGCAGAGCAGGGTAGATTTTGCTTGTTCATCCTAAGGGCACACAATGGGGCCTGACACACAGTAGGTGCTCAACAAATGGGAGAGGTGAGTGAACAGGGAACACATGAATGTGCACCTATTATGAGCTGAAGCTGCAGATAGAATCTTGAGAAAAGACAGATCTGCTTTCTGCCTTTGTGAGGTTTATGAGAGGGGAAAAATAACCACCAAGGGTCAGCACACAGGATTGGTCTTTCTTTTGAGATGAAAAGGAGCTGATTCAATTAACCTTTTCCTTAAAGGGAATGTCTGAGGGGGTGTATGTGAATGTGAGTGTGAATGTGAGTGTATGTGCGTGCGCGCATGTCTGTGGTTACCCACAGAGGCCAGAAGAGGGCATTAGATTCCCTGGAACTAGAGTTACAGGCAGCTGTGAGCTGTTGGGTATGGGTGCTGGGAACTGAACTCCAGTCCTCTGTAAGAGCAACAAGCACTCTCAATGGGTGAGCCATCTCTATATTCCCACTAGGGAACAGCAAAGATAACTCAGGGAGAGAGCAGAGTATACCTCCTAATTCTACACAAGGATCTTCCATAGGAAGGGATGGTGGTGCTGGACAGTGGTAGCATATACCTTTAATTCCAGCTCTCGGGAGGCAGAGGCAAGTGGATCTCTTTGAGTTCAAGGCCAGCCTGGTATATAGAGTGAGTTCCAGGACATCAGGATAGCCAGGGCTACACAGAGAAACCATATCTTGGGGGAAAAAAAGAGAGAGAGAAAAGAGACAAACCGACAGACTGACTGACTGACATGGTAGAAGTTAGTGGGAAAAGCCCATAGCAGCTGGTTCTTGGCTTTTGAGACCATGAACCCATAAGTACATTTGTCTGTAGGATGCTTGATTGTGTGTGTGTGTGTGTGTTGTGTGTGTGTGTGTGCGTGTTTGTTTGTTTGTTTTTGTTTTTTGAGATACGGTCTTTTTATGTAGCCCTGGCTGTCCAGGAACTCACTATGTAGGCCAGGCTAACTGGAACTCAGAGTTCTACTGCCTCTACCTCCTGAGTGCTGCAATTAAAGGGAGTGTGCCACCATGTATGGCTATAAGTAACATTTTAAAAGCAAGAATGTTGAATTGCAGTTGGGCACGGTGGCACATTCCTGTAATCCTGGGTGAAACAGGAGGACTAAGAGTTTGAGACCAGCCTGGGCTACAAAGCAAGACCCTGTCTCAAAAAACTAAATAAAAAATAAGGCCAGACATAGTGTTGCTTGCCTTTAATCCCAGCACTTGGGAGGGCAAAGGCAGGTGGGCCTCTGTGAATTTGAGGCCACCCTGGTCTACACAGTGAGACTATGCCTCAAAACTAAAAACTAAGACCAAACCCTCAAAAAAGTAAGTCAGTAGCTGGCACTGACTTCAAGACATCTCTAGTCTGACTCACCTGCCGGCCTGGCCACCCCCAGATCTAGGTTACCACACTAGGCTACTGCATGGCTTCCTGCTAATGTCCACAGGCACTTCTGCTCTTGAGTCATTCCCTGCTCCCTCTTCAAGCCGTTCTCAACCAGGCAGCAAGTGGTTAGTACTTATGCTGTTAAACATAAGGGAAGCCAGGCACCTGTACTCCCAGCCATTTGGGAGGCAGAGGTAGGACTTGAGTCTTCAAGTGGGAGGGCAGGCTGACAACATAGCAAGACTTCAGCTCAAGAAGCAAAAAGGAAAGAAAACAGGCAAAGCCTCCCAAAAGAGGCCGAAGAGATGGCTCAAAGGTTAAGAGCACATACCGCTCTTACAGAGGACCTGAGTTCAGTTCCCAGCATCTGTGTAACGTGGATCATAACCACCTGTAACTCCTGTTCCAAAGACTCTGACACCCTCATCTGGCCTCTAAGGGCACATGAACTCATGGTACATGTTCAGAAATATATCATTAAAATTGAAATAAATCTTCTTAAAACAAAACAAAAACCTACAGGAAGTCAAAGAGTAGTATGCCCCTTCTCAAAATGTTAGTTTCCTATTCTCGCTTAAAAGGAAGGTCAAGCTCTTCTTTCAGACCTAGAGCCAGACAGGCCTGACCCAGTTCCCCCTATGTCGCCTCTCCCTTTCAACAGTGTGGTGGCCAGCCTCTCACTCACCAGACATAATCCACCCTCTAGCTGGTCCCTGACCTTCAGCACCTTATGAACTCTTTTCCTTGATTTTTTTGTTTGTTCTTTTTTTTTTTTTTTTTCAAGACGGGGTTTCTCTGAGTAGTCCTGGATATCCTGGAACTGTAGACCAGGCTGGCCTCAAACTCAGAGATCCACCTGCCTCTGCCTTCCGAGTGCTGGTATTAAAGGCATGAGCCACCAATGGCTGACTTCCCTGATATTTTTAATGTTCATTTTCTGCTACCTCCTGCTAGAAGATAAACCCTAGGAGGGCAGGGATCCTTGTCTGTTTTGTTCACTGCTGTATCCTTAGCAGCCACAACAGTGCGTATTTATTATAAAGTAGATGTTCACTGAACACTTGGTGACTGAATGAGTAAATTTGGATTTTAAAGAATGTTTTTGGACCCTGTCTCGAAAATAAAACGAAACAAAAAGATTTGGAAGGGCTGGGCATATAGCTCAGTGCCAGTGTGCTTGCCTAATGTTTCTTGCTCTGGAAAGAGAAAGAAAGGGGAGAAGAGAAGGAGGGAAGGGAGAGAAAAGATGCAATTTGGAGGGCAAAAAGCCCCAACATAGATAAACAAAATTGCCAAACAGAAATCTTTTTTTAAAACTCAACCTCAGAAGATGGACAAAACAGAAATCTTGCAACTTGGACTTAGCCCACCCTCTTTGTCTAGTTCTATTTTTTTTTAGGTTTACTTATTTATATTTTATGTATATAAGTGCTTTGCTTGCAATGTTTGTGCATCACCTATGTGCCAGGTGCCTGCAAAGGTCAGGAGAGAGTGTTGGAGTCCTTGGGACTGGAGTTACAGGTGATTGGGAGCTTACCATGGGAGTGCTGGGAACTGAACAAGCAGCAGGCGCTCTTAACCAGTGAAGTCATCTCTCCAATCCCAGTGTACAACTCTAATAAACTGCAAGTGTGTCTATAAACATTAGACTGCAAGGCATTTTCTGAGTAAGGCCTTGAAGGAAGGAACTCAGGTCAGGAGAGGAGCAGGAAAGGAGAGATCAGAGATTGATTTCCAGAGACTATGACCCAGAGGACTGGACAGGTTTCTAGGGAGAAAAGAGAGGCTCCTGGGAAGTGGGTGTGCACAGGCAAATGGGTGGAAGTGAAGTCTGTACATGGAATAGGGCCTGTGGCCAAGGAAGCCCACAGTGGACATTGTAGGATTAGCTGTGTCACACTGCAGAGGACTGGGTCTCCGTGGATGATAGTGGGGAGCCACAGGCATTTCCAAGTGGGGGACATATGGTTAGAGCTGCATTTTAGGAAGCACAAGGGAATGAGGAAGCTAGTCCAAGCTTGGAAACTACTACATCCATCCTGGCCTGAGGGCTGACCGCACTTTCTCCCAATTGGTATGCAGTGAGGGTAGGTACCTGCCACTTCTGAAGAGAAAGGTCATGACCAGTGCATGAGGTGCCCGGATTTTGACTCCATAGCTGTAGAAACAGAAACAAACAGTTACTCGCCCATCACTGTAGCAGTTTCTAGAACCCCCCCCCCTTTGGCCCCTGGTCCTTTCTCCCATCCCTAATTCTGATACCATGATGGGAGGGACGTAATGTTGGCTTTCCAGTTACATCTGGGCTCAAGTTGCAGAGCCCCCTGGTAGAAGAGTGATCTTTGCCTTATCTTGACCCTTTCTGAGGTTCAGTTTCACCAACTAAAATGGAATGCGAAACCTTAGAGAGCTGGGTATATCGTTCTTGTGAGCAAAACTGAAGTACACAAAAGGTGTCCACTATTCCTAGCTGGCAGAGATGCTCTCTCAGCTCCTATTACAGTCTATCTATTACAGTCAGGCTCGTCTTTGATTAATTTTAAATTGATTTATTATTATTACTAATACTGTTTTATTTTCTTTTAATTTTTCTAATGGGTGTGGAAATCAGGATTCACTAGATTCTGTATATATGAAATGGATCTTATTAGGGGAAAAGAACTTACACAGGGTCAGGCAGTGGTGGCGCAAACCTTTATTCCCAGCACTGGGGAGGCAGAGGCAGGTGGATCTCTGTGAGTTTGAGGCCAGTCTGGTCTACAGAGCGAGTTCCAGGACAGGCTCCAAAGCAATACAGAGAAACCCTGTCTCGAAAAATGGAAAAAAAAAAAAGAAAGAAAGAAAGAAAGAAACTTACACAGAAAACAAGTGGTGCTCCAGCTCCAGGAACACAGACCCCACCACCCTGGTGCTCTCCAAGACTGAAAAGGGGGCAGGAGAGCTCCGAGCCCCAAACCTAATCCTAGCACCAGTCACATCCAAACATGTGTGGGGGCAGATCTACCACTACATTTTTCATTACATTCATTCATAGACATAGAATCTTACTACGTAGTACTAGCTCTGGCTGGAACTCACTATGTACACCAGGTTGGCCTTAAGCTTCGAAAGGCTGGGCGTGGTGGCACATGTCTTTAATTCTAACACTTGGGAGGCAGAGGCAGGTGGATCTCTCTGAGTTCAAGGCCTGCCTCGTCTATATAGTGAGTTCCAGGACAGCCAGGGCTACATAGTGGGACCCGGTCTCTAAAAGTGAATCAACAACAAACTCATAGAGCTCTGCCTGCCCATATATACCCCCGAGTCCTAAGAATTTTATTTTACTTTATTATTGCTATTGTTTTGGTGGATTTAACAAATTATTTTAGTAATTTATTTGCGTATGTGTGGGGGCATGTGTGCTAGCTAGTTTTATGTCAACCTGACATAAGTGATATTCATTCAAGAGAAGGGAACCTTAATTGAGAAAATGCCTTCATAAGACCAGGCTTCAAGTTGGTTCTGAAGGTAGTAGTGAATGCCTTTAATCCCAGTGCTCAGAAGACAGAGACAGGTGGATCTTTGTGAGTCTGAGGCCAGTCAGGTCTACAGAAGGAGTTCCAGGACAGCCAGGGCTCCACAGAGAAGCCCTGTCTTGAAAAACCAAAAAGAAAAAAGATCAGGCTGCGGGTAGGCAAGCCTGTGGGGGAATTTTCTTAATTAATGATTGATTAGGGGGGAACCTAGCCCATTGTGGGTGGGTGATGCCACCTGTGGACTGGTGGTCTTGGGATCCATAAGAAAAACTGAGCATCAGCTCCTGACTTCAGGTTCCTTCCCAGTCTGAGTTCCTTCCTTGGTTCCCTCAATGGACTGTGACTTTGGATACATAGGCTACATAAACCCTTTCCTCTCTAAGTTGTTTTTTGATAATAGTGTTTCATCACAGCATTAGTAACCTTGACTAAGACAGCATGCATGCCACAGCATGTATGTGTGTTAGAGAAGAGCTTGTAGGACTCACTTTTCTCCTTCCCCCACTTGAACTCAGGGATCACATACTCTGCCCTTCAGGCATGGTGGCAAATACTGAGCCTCACCACCAACTCTGGCTTTCCTTTCTTTCTTTCTTTCTTTCTGGTAAGGATCTCGTGCAGGCCAGTTTTTGTAGCTGTCTGAGTGATTGAGGCCTTGAACTCCTCCCATCACCTCCTGAATGCTGAGATTGTAGATGCATGCTTCCTTACAGATTAATATATTATTATTATTTTATTTCTGTGTGTACATGCGTGCACACATGTGCACGCGCACACACGCATGCAGGTGCATACAAACGTAGTACTTTTGGAGTCTAGAATCGGGGGTAAATCCCCTAGAGGTGGAGTTACAGGTGGCTGTGAGCTAACGGCTGTGGTCTTGGGAACCAAACTCAAGTTCTCTTCAAGGGAAAGAAGTGCTATTCACCACTGAGCAGTCTTTCCACTCCCATGCCTGGCTTATTTTTCTTTCTTTTCTTTTCTTTCTTTTTTTTTCTTTTTCCTTTTGGAGACAGGATTTCTCTGCAGTTTTGAAGCCTGTTCTGGAATTCATTCTATAGCCCAGGCTGGCCTCAGACTCGCAAAGATATGCCTGTCTCTGCCTCCAAAAGTGCTGGGATTAAAGGCATGTGTCACCACTGACCTGCCTTTCTTAGTTTTCTTTATCAGATGCCTTATGTTGGTTAGTTTTAGTTTTATGTCAATCTGTCACAGGCTAGAGTCATCTGAGAGGAGGAAGCCTCAACTTAGAAAATGTTTCCATAAGTTCAGGCTATATAGGTAGGCCTGTAGGGCATTTTTTAAACTAGTGATTTATAGGGGAGGGCCCAGGTCATTGTGAGTCATACAGCCTCTGGGCTGATGGTTATTGATTCTATAAGAAAGCAGACTGAGCAAACCATGAGGAATAAGCCAATAAGCTTCTGTTTCAGCTCCTGCCTCCAGGTTTCTGTCTTGTTTTGAGTTATTGCCTTGGCTTCCCTCAACAGACTATGACACAGAATTTGCAAATCAAGTAAGCCCTTTCCTTTCCAAGTTGCTTTTGGTCATGTTATTTCATCATAGCAACCCTAACTAAAATCCCTTCAAGGCCTTGAGACAATGATTATGAGCCACATATGGCTGTCCCTGAATACATGGGAATATTCACTGCAGGCTTCAAAAAAAGAAGGGCTCCTGTGGCATACACCATTATCCTGGTACTTAAATGAAACAACAAATGGCCAGAATCAGGCACTGGGTAGACAGCTCAGAAAGTAAAGCTGCACAGTAAGCATGAGGACCCACAGAAGAATCAGAATAGAACAGTGGAAGCCCCAGACTGTCAGGACAGAGATGGCAGGCAAAGCCTTGGTATAAATCAAGGTCTTTCTCTTTCGTTCTTTCTTTCTTTCTTTCTTTCTTTCTTTCTTTCTTTTTTTTTTTTTTTTTTTTTTTTTTTGAGACAGGGTTTCTCTGTGGTTTTGGAGAATGTCCTGGAACTAGCTCTTGTAGACCAGGCTTGTCTTGAACTCAGAGATCCACCTGCCTCTGCCTCCTAAGTGCTGGTACTAACGGTGTGCACCACCACTGCCCGGCTTTGGCTTTTTTTGGTTTTTCGAGACAGGGTTTCTCTGTATTGCTTTGGAGCCTGTCCTGGAACTCACTCTGAAGACCAGGCTGGCCTTGAACTCACAGAGATCTGTCTCCCAAGTGCTGGGACTAACGGCGGTGTGTGCCACCAACAATTGAGTTTGTTTTTGTTTTTTACATTTTTAAGTTTTTATTTATTTATTAGATATACAGTTTTGTCTGCATGTGCACATGCAAGCCAGAAGAGGGCACCAGATCTCATTATAGATGGTTGTGAGCCATCATGTGGTTGCTGGGAATTGAATTCAGGACCTCTGGAAGAAAAGCCAGTGCTATTAACCTCGGAGACATTACTACAGCCCAACAAACAAGTCCTTAATTGGTCTAGACAATAAAAGGCCAGAGTCAGATATAGAGGGAAACGCTGAGAGACCAGAGAAAAGGAGCAAGCCACAGCACACCTTACCTCCTAAGGGTCTCAGCAGAGAAGAGGATTTCCTGTTTATCCCTGCTTATATACTGATTCTGCCCAGCTATGTCACTTCCTGCCTATCTGTACAGCCCTCCAGACCTGTATGGTTAACTAGTGGCAGTTTCTGCCGAGCTATATCACTTTATGGGATCACATGATGACTCTTCTCTGCCTACACTTCCCAGAATCCTCCTTGTCTCCTAGTCCCATCTATCATCCTGCCTGGCCAATCAGTGTTTTATTCATCAACCAAATAAGACAAACATATACACAGAAGACCGTTGCCCATCACTTTGGAGCTCACCCGTCAGCCAGTCTAGCCAATGAATGAGTTCCACGCTCAGTGAGAGACACCCCACAAAAAAAAATAATGCAGAAAGTGCCAGAAGCCAGAGGCCAGGTGAAGGTGGCTCATGCCTTTGATCCCGGCATTTTTGAGTTTGAGGCCAGCCTAGTCTACAAGACCTAGTTCCAAGACACCCAGGGCTACACAGAGAAATCCTGTCTCAAAAACAAACAAACAAATAAGCAAGCAAACAAACAAAAAGTGATGGAGGAAAGCAATTAATGTCACCCTCTGGCCTCCCTGTGCTCACCCACACACATCCATGTGAACGTGTGTGTGTGTGTGTGTGAGAGAGAGAGAGAGAGAGAGAGAGAGAGAGAGAGAGAGAGGGAGAGAGAGAGGAGATGGTCTCTTCTCTCTGTTTCCATTTTACACGGGAGGATGAGGCCCAAAGAGAGTAAAAGAGGAAAACAAGCCGAGTGTTGTGGCACATGCCTTTAATCCCAGCACTTGGAGGCAGAGGCAGGCATTTCTGTGTGAGTTCAAGGCCAGCCTTGTCTACACAGGAAGTTCCAGGGCTACATAGACAGACTCTGTCTAAAAAGAAAAATTAAATAGAAAATTAATTTGGAGCTAGAGAGATGGGTCAGTGTTTAGGAGCAGGTGTTGCCCTTGCAGGGGACCTGGGTTCAGTTCTCAGCACCACATGGTGGCTCACTGCTATGTTTCTCCAGTTCCAAGGGACATCATACCCTCTGGCTTCCACAGGTATTAAGCACGTACACAGCACATAAACATACATGTAGGCAAAGCATTCATGAGCATAAAATAAATGTTTCTTTCCAGGTGTGCACACATTTAATCCCAGCACTCAGGAGGCAGAGGCAAATGATCTCTTTGTTCAAGGATAGCCTGGTCTGCAGAGCAAGTTCCAGGACAGCCAGGGCTACACAGAGAAATCCTGTCTTGAAAGAGCTCAATAATTAAATAAGTCTTAAAAGTAATTAATCAAAACATCTTTCATTCTTCTCTCCTACAGTAACCCTGAGTGAAGCCTCCCTCCCTTTACTCGTGTCCCCTGCCTTCCTCCACCTTGCCCCTCCCCCAGATCCACTGCTCGGTCCAATCATTAGCGGTATTGGGGGGGTGGGGGTGGGAGAGCATCAAGACAGGGTTTCTCTAGCTGTCCTGGAACTCCCTCTGTAGACCAGGTTGGCCTCAAACTCACAGAGATCCCCATGCCCCTGGAGTGCTTGGTGAGAAAAGGGAGTCATCCAATATTCAGAGTAAAAACATGAGGATTGGAACAGGAGGACATGACCACAGAAAGTGCCATGGCTGGCAAGGTTCACAGAGGGTATGGGAGAGCTGGAATCGGAAAGGATTACACAGTCCTCACTGGAAAATGCCTGCTGGCTCTGGAGCTAAGTCTGTGGGATATAAAAGAACAAGGTAGAAAAGTGGGCAGTGAAGCAATAAGTGTAAGGTGAGGAACTGTTCTTTAAGTCTAGCATTATTCCAAAAGGAAAGCATTAAGGTGTGGGGGAGCTGAGGTGCATTTGTGTGCATGTGCATAGGGCACTCTGGAAGGCAACACAAGAGTCATCCCGGGGCTGTCTGCATGGAGAGGGGCTGGTGACGGGACATTCGTGTAACTATTTTAGAGTCAGGATGGACCTCAGGACCTCTTGCATGCTAGGCATGTGTTAAGCATGTGCTCTCCGTGGAGTTACATGTCTGGTTTAGCAATGAACTTTTACGACTTTTGTGAATGTGTTACCTAACTTTTAAAAAAGGATATTAAAGATGATTGAAAAGCTAACAACTTAAAGTGTGTTTCTGTTGCAGAAGCCAGTCTGCTGTCCTTATTATCTCCTCTGCCTGGCAGTGTCAGGCCGTTCCCATCTTAGTCCCTGTGGCCCTTCTTCCCCCAGCATCTCCAGAACCTTATCTCCTTCTCCTGCACAGAGAGGCCTTCAGCCTCCTCCAGTCAGCCAGGGCCTTCCTTTAGCCTAGACACAAGACGACTGTCTTCAAGTCCCTACATCTGCCAAGCCCTTTCTCAGAGTTCTCTAATTCAGATGAGACCTGTTACATCACACCTATAATCTCAGAATTTGGGTGGCTTAGACAGGAGGACACTGAATTTGAGCACAACCTAAGATAGACAGAGAGACCCCCCCTTTTTTTAATGGGGGCTAGAAAGATATCTTGGTCAGTAAAGAGTTTGGCTTGTAGCTGTGAGGACCTGACTTTGGATCCCTGGAACCCATGTAAAAAGCAAGGCATGATGGTGGGTACTATATTCCAAGGCACGTCGAGGTAGTGGGTGGAGACAGGCAGTCTTGGAGCTGGTGGCCAACTAGCCTAGCCCACCTGGTGAAGTTCCAGGTCAGTGAGACCCTTTCTCGAACAAAAAGTGAAAGGAAAGTGCCTAAGGCATGGTGGCGGAATGATCTTGGACCTCCACGTGTGCTGGCATACATGTGCGCACGTACATCTGTGTGCGCACGCACACACATGTAAAACTCTTGAATATTTGGGGGTGAGTTAAATGTTCACCCAGGTCAAACATCTCAGTCATCCACATTGACCTCTCTAAACCAATGGCCTCTCTTCACCTACACAGCACATTTCCCTCTACCCCCGCCCCCCTTTGCTGAATACATTTCCATGCCCGGGATGCCCTTTTCTTCCTGGAGAACTCCAACTTGGCCTTCAGAATGTCACCAGCACCCCCTCTGAAAAGAATTCCTGAATACTACTTTGCACTGATGTGATATTTGGGTGGTGTTGTTGTTTTGGTTTAGTCTTGCTATTCAGCCCAGGCTAGTCTCAGACTCCCAATCCACTTCCTCTAAAGTGCTGTGACTGCAAGTGTATGCTGCCACCACGCTCAGCCCTGTCACCGTAGTTTGTGAGACTTCCCTTTGGACTTATGGTCCTTATAGATGGGCACACTGTCAATGCCACTAACAAGTAATAAGGTCCCTCCCTGCCTTGGAGACTCAGGAATGGCCGAATTTGCAGTTTTAATTTTACAGAGGAGGAAACTAAGACCAGAAGAGACAAAGGACTACCCAGTTTGTCACAGTGAAAGCATTGGGATTAGAGCCCAAACACCTGACCCTGAAAAATGTCTGTCCTGTCTGAGGAGGGCAGAGAGAAGTGGGGTAGGGGCAGGCGTACAAAGTCCATATTGGGCTACACTTGCTGGGACATGGGCGTCCAGAGCATACCTGGCAAAGGGGCTACTGATGTTACCTTGGGCTTCATTCCATCCTGATCAAAACATGGCTGATATAATCTGGCCAGATCCAGCGGGAAGCAGTCTCTGCCTGACTGAGCGTCCACTCTGAGTCTCAATCCTGTCTGTAATCTGACTTGATATGTGCAGGAACAATCAGCATAACCCCCCAAGTCACTATCGGCATCTAGTCATCTAGAAGGCAGAGACAAGAGTGGTCCAGAGTTTTCAAATATTCATTCAAGAATTTTTGAATGCCTATAAGTAGGGGGATTACCAGGATACATAGGTAAAAATGTGTGTTCCTGTGAAACACATTTTGTCATTGTTGTTGAGAGAGGGTCTCACACTATATAGCCCAGGATGACCCAGAATGCACTATTTGGCACAAGTTGGTCTCAAACTCACAATAATCCTCCTGTCCCAGCCTCCCAAGTACACCACCCCAGGCTGATGAAGCACGAGTTCTAGTGAGAGACGTGGACTATGAAACAAGATTTCAGTGTCTGTTGATAACAGGTTCAGAGGCAGCCTCGCTGGGGAGGTCTCAGTGAAGACTTAGTGAGCTAGGCAGATAGCAAGAGCCTGCGACAACAGCCATCCCTCGTGCACACACACCAGGTACAGTGCTCTGCATTTCACAGACTGACCGGTCCTCAAACAGTACCATGTAAGTTCCAGAAAGTGAGGCTCCGAAAGGCCAAATGACCCACTCAAGATAGCTGACACTGGGTTTTAAATCGTGGTGGTTCACACACTGAACACCATGCCACGCACTGCTACCTAGATGCCAACCTTACGGACTTTGGTTTCTTCTCTGAGTCGTTGCTAGTACTGGCACAACAGCCCCTCAATAACTGTGAATGCGTGAGGTTTAAAGAAAGTGGAGCTACCCTCCAGGCACCGGTTGAGCAAAATGACCCTAAGACCTCCTCTCCTTTCTGTATGAGGGAGTGAGGTCAACCTGTCCAGCAAATATTAGCTGCCTTCTCTTACTTACATTCACCGTCACTCCCCATGAGTACCCCCTCAGTGAAAATGCAGGCTGAGGTGAAGTCATATACATGAGAAGCAGGATGTGAACCTGTTGGCAGCTTAATAGGGGGAGCCTATTAGGTAGCAGGTGACCACCTGTTTGCTTTAGGGCACAGTCCAGTTTCTTTTGTGCACACAGAGCCACTGAAGCCAAATAGGCCAAAGGGCATACGGCAAGATGAGGTGAACTGGACCCAAATGAGGACATACAAGTGCTGGCATATTAGGTAACTAAGTCAAGAGTGCCAGGTTGTAAAGCACAAAGGACCTAGGAGAGAGACAGGGGGAGCCCCAGCTCAGGACTGACAAGGTGACAGGAACCCAGAATCCTACTTCCGCTACACCAATGGGACACCGAAATCTAACCCGAGAGCTCTCAGAGAATGCAGAGGGAGGTGACACGGGCCTCGAACTCGCGACCCCAGCTAGGCCCGTCCCTCAGCCCCACTCACACAGCCCCGTTCCGGAAGCCCTTAAGCAGGGCCAACACAGCGTGGTAGCGGCGCTTGCGCAGCAGCGTGTTGACAGCCTGGAGAAGAGCCCGCAGCTGAGGTGGGGAGGCCATAGCATCAGAGAACTCGGTTGTGGAAGCCGGGTGGACGCGGACTGACAGCCCTGGGTTCTGGCCGCACAGCCCACTGCATTGGGGAGCACCGCCCCGTCGTTGTGTCCATAGGCTGAGTCTGCCGTCACTCATACAAGGCAGCCAGTCATAGAGCACACTGGTCTGCAAGGGGCTGAGCCGCTTTCACTCTTCGGAATAGCTGTCTGATTGGAAGAGAAAGGAGAGTTGGTAACCAATCACCGTGACTCGGAAGATCTCACGCAGGATTCGCCCAATCGGAAGGCAGTTTTCGTAGGGAGAAGTTTGTCTCATAGTGAGGCTTAGAAGGGGTTTCTTACCCTCCTTGGGGCTGCCATGGATGACTCCGGGGAGGTGACATTGGTCTTACCTCATACACGACACTTTCGACTGCCTAGCAGATAGCGCAGCTAACTTCTCAGAGCATAAAGCACATGTTACTCTTGTTTGGTGTTTCGAAACAGTACTTTATGTAGCCCAGGCTGGCCTTGAACTCTCTCCCCTCTCCGCCCCCCCACACACACAGGGCCTTCCCCCCCCCCCTTCCCATGTGCTAGGTAGGATTGCAGGCCTGTGCCATCTTACCTGTTTTCTATTTATTTTTAAAATACAAACTCCTTTTCAGGGCCCCCAGGAGCAGATGTATTTAGTATTTGCTGGCCCTTGCCTCTTGTCCCATATCCTCCCTTTTCTCCAACGCACTGGCTTAGTTTCCATTCCTTGAGCATTCCAAGAGTCGCACCTGCTATTTCCCTGTTGAAATGTATTGCCCCTGCACTCTCTATGGCTAACTTCCTCTCAGTATTCAGGGGTTAGCTCAGGTACCACCTAATCAGGGAAGCCCTGCCCGGTATCCCACAGCCAACTTATTAGCTCAGGAGTTTTCTTGTTTTTGTTCGTTCGTTTGTTTTTCAAGACAGGGTTTCTCTGTGTAGCCCTGGCTGTCCATGAACTCACTTTGTAGACCAGGCTGGCTTCAAACTCACAGAGATCTGCTTGCCTCTGCCTTCCCAGTGCTGGGATTAACGGTGTGTGCCAACACTGCCCAGCAGGCAGCCCAGGCTTTCTGTTGTTTTGTTTGCTTTTTTCCTCTCTAGAATTCTTCACATTTTCTAATTGTTAGTGCTTGTCCAATGTCCATCATTACACGGTCTATTACTTTCCTGGAGCCAGATGTTTGTCTAGTTTTCTACTGTAACACCAGTACCCAGCATGCGTTTCTAAAAGCAGTAAGATTAAGTTATCACTGCTAGAAAATTGATGAGTGACATTTACATATAATGTGTATAAATGTCATTAGATAACAGTCACACATTGAATGGTGGCTGAAATTGGGCATATGATATTTACTTGTGATATTGACGGGGCTAGTATCAGAGATCAGTAAAGAAAATGAACTGTGTTGAACCTGTTCCATATTGGGTCTCTCTCTCTCTCCTCTCTCTCTCTCTCTCTCTCTCTCTCTCTCTCTCTCTCTCTCTCTCTCTTAGTTATCAACTAGTTTATTCAGTTAGACCTCTAAAAATAGTTTATGAGAAAGCAGAATCTCTAGGCTAGGTATGTAACTCATTTGATAGAGTGTTGTCTAGCTTGCAAGAAGCCCCCAGCTTTGTCTCCAGCACCTCAGCAATTATGTGTGCTTGTGTGTGGTATGTGCATGTAAGTGCCAAAAGTGTCCCATGCTCCTGGAGCTGAAGCTACAAGTTTTGTGAACTTCCTGATGTGGGTGCTGGGAACTGAACTTGGATCCTCTACAAGAGCATCATTCCTCCAGCCCCAAGAATATATATATATATATATATATAGCAAATTAGCACTTGAGAGGTAGAAGCTAGAGGGTCAGGAGTTAAAGGCCATACTCAACTTCATAGTGAGTTTGAAGCTGCCTAGGCTACAAGAGACCCTTTCACAACCCCCCCCCCGCTCGTGTGTGTGTGTGTGTGTGTGTGTGTGTGTGTGTGTGTGTGTGTGTATGTGTGTGTAATTTAGAAAAGCAAAGCTGCTAGAAATTTCACCTGTAACTGCATGGAGGTCAGTCTGAGTGACATATGGCCCAGTGTTGGGAAACAATTGTGTTTGGCAGGTCTTTCTGTATATTATCTTTTGGTAAGCCCTTTCTTAGGTAGATGAATCAGTTTCTACCTTTCCAAGCCTCCTATGGTGCTAAAGGCAAAAAACCATTGCCACAATAAGAGTGTTTATTGCCTAGTGACCCATTTTCATTTTGCACAACTCTAAGTTCCTCAGGGCACATTGTTTATTTACCTTTGCCCGGAAAACACAATTTCACTACCTGCACTATCTATAGAATAGTAACTAGGTATCAGTTTCCTGCATGCCTTTAAGCGTATGGTGCTGAGTGACAGGCTTAGGGCCTCATGCATACTGAATTCCCTGTCACAGAACTACATGCACAGCCCTTGAATACTTTGTTACTAGTCTTGTTCTTATACAAAGTCTGCAAGCTAAGTGCTATGAAATTGTTAGTTAACTTATAGAAAACAGAGGAATATAGAGGCCAAGCCACTTGCCCAAGATATTATAACTGATGAAGGCTAGAGGAATTTAAAACCAGGCCTCCTGGCTTGCATCTGAAGTCTGTGATCTTAACTATATTCTAGTTTGTTAGTACTGCCATGAAATCTATTGTATCAGAATCATGGAAACTGGCTGTTAAAGACCTAAGTGTTGTTAGTAGTTTTCATTTCTCTGGAGACCTTTCTCCCTTGTTTTAAAAGAAAATACCTTTATCCCAGCACTGGGGAGGCAGAGGCAGGCGGATCTACAGAGCTAGTTCCAGGACAGGCTCCAAAGCAATACAGAGAAACCCTGTCTCAAAAAAGAAAAAAAAAAAAAAAAAAAAAAGAAAAGAAAAAAAGAAAAGAAAGGAAAAAGAAGGAAAGAAAAGAAAAATGAAGTTCTCACGTGGCTACCTTTTTTTAAAAAATTAATTCCTAGTCAGCTGTAGTATCTCAGCACTGGGGAGACAGAGAGGCAGGTGGATATCTAAGTCTCAGTTCCAGCCCAGCCAGAGATACATAATGAGTTCCCATCTCTAAAAAAATTCCTGAAAAAAAAATACATTTATCTATGTATGTGAGAGGGGCACGTATGTGTGCCACCAGAAGTTCCATAATAACTTTTAGGAGTCAGTTCTTTCTTCTACCATGTGGGCCCAGGAGATCAAACTCCAGTTCTCAGGCTTAGGGGGAGATATTTTTATTCACTGAGCAGGTGTCCTCTCTCTCTCTCTCTCTCTCTCTCTCTCTCTCTCTCTCTCTCTCTCTGTGTGTGTGTGTGTGTGTGTGTGTGTGTGTGTGTGTGTACACGTATATATACATACACACCACACCGAGGTCCTCTGAAAAAGCAATCAGTGCTCTTAATCACTGGGCCATCTCTCTAGCTCCCACTTTCTTCTTCTGATTGTATTTTAATTACATTTATTTCCTTAGTGTGTATATGCACACATACACCACAGTGCACATATGGATATGAGAAGACAACTGGCAGGAATCAGTTCTCTTCTAATTCGTGGCAAGTGCCTTCTTCCCTTGCTCAGCCATCTTGTTGGCCTCTCCCCAATACCCCCTCCCTCCCCCATCCCCACCAATCAAGATCTTATATATCTCCAGCTGCTCTCAAACTACTCTGTAGCTTAGAATGACTTGAAGTTAAAAATTTTCCTGCCTCCACCTCCTAGTGCTGGGGTTATAGACAAGCTACCATGCCCATTTATACATTGCTGAGGATCCACTTGGGGCTTCAGGCTTGCTAAAAAAGAAAGCACCAACTGAACTATATCTCCAGCCTCCACATACAGAAACATCCTGACTACTGGGCCTCAAACCTCCTAGTATGGGTTGGACAGTGAAAGAGAACACACAATTCTGTCTGTAAGAACTGCCATACCTTGCTACTTCCTACCAACACCAAAATGGAAGGATGCGACATTCATTTTCTCCCCTCAGCCTAGGACCTAGTTTTAAGCTTTGTCCCTCTGGGGAAACTGGCGTGCTCACTGTAAAGTTTGTCATTAAAAGTTTCTCACACTTTTACTTTTCCCTAGTTGGCCCAAAGCCTGGAATTACTACATTAGCTGTTTCAGAAGTTCAATGCCAAGCAGGTAGCCCGGAGGGAGTAGGACATGGGACTGATAGCGATTGTGATGGAGGAAGGGACAGAGGTTAAGAATGGGAGGTCTGTAGAGGAAGCAGTCTGACTGGGGAACCCATCCGTATTAAAGCTTTGCATCCCAAAAGGCTTATTGATCTGTTCCATCCAGCAGGCCATGCACTTCTTGGTGGGCTCTGTGTCAAGCCCTGAGTTCCAACCAGAATGAATGCAAATACTTCCCTGATTGATGTTTGGGAAAAGGATAACTTACTGGTGGCAGCTACTGTGAGAATTCAGTATGGCAGGGCAGGGTTCTGCTCTATCCTGGGAGGTCACAGATAATTTCTCAGGGGAGGCAAGAAGGCGGGTCCCTAATGCTCCATGGAGGATAGGAAAACTGCCATTTGGGAAGACAGGCAGAACAGACGTGCACGTACCCCGTGTGAAGAGAGGTATCTGGGGAGCTGCCATGGCTGTGTTGCCTTGTGTTTGTGGAGCTCCCACTCTTAGACTCTTAGAACAAAACCTAAACTCTCACTTAGTCTCAGCTGTGCTCTCACAATTCTTGGCTCTGAGTGTGTAGGGCTAGAGGGGGGTGGGGTGCACACAGAGCCTTGCGAACAGTAAGCAGGTGAGCTGCTCTTGCTCTTTAATTTGAACCTCATAGCCTTGGTGTTTGCTACTCTCTCCAGCTTCCCTATTATTCTTTCAAAAAGCTGACTCCATTACATTTCTTGGGTCATTCACCTTCTCAGAGTCTCTTCCTGTCCCTCCTCCACCCTGAATAACATAGCTTCTCTTCATAACAGAACAAAAAAATGATCTGAAGTCTCTCTCTCTCTCTCTCCTCATTCCCCTATTTACTTCCTTGTCTACAGCCCATCTTTCCTGCTGGATTATAACTGCACAAAGACAAAACTTTTTTTTTTTTTTTTTTTTTTTTTTTTTTTTTGGGCGCGGGGCTTGACCACGTTTCTAGAATCTAAAACAATTCATGATATACAGTAGCTGTT